TATATATATATATATATATATATATATATATATATGTATATATATATATACTGTATAGACAAGGCTTATGGGAAATTAATGATTAGTTTGTCTGCAGCTCTAGATTAGAAAATGTATTCATAAACAAGCCTAAAGAAAGAATTATAAGGAATTTAGAGGTTATTTAATGGAGAAAACCTGTCCACCGCCTCAGAAACACAACTGTCAGGAAGCCTCCTGCTAACGCACATTCAGCTTTTTTCATTGCAAAAAAAACTGTCGATTGCAATGACAGCCAAGAAGTGAATCCAGATCTCTCGCTCTCTGAGAGATTTCTGATAAAAGCAGGAGAGCAAGGCTTTAAAAAAGGACACACGCTGACGTGTCCTTGCCTCAGACTCCCAACAATGCACCGACAGTCAAACGCTCGCTTTGAAACGCACTCGCTCTTTTCTTGTCCCCATCCGGTTCACTCGCTCACAGCTGTCTTTGTAGACATCTCTACGGGATGTTACATTTGCGCTGTGAGCGATGTTTGAAAAAGTCACATAAAAAAAACAAAAAACTTTTCTCTCAGAACTTGAGATCGGAGGGTCAGAAACGGCAACGTTAATATTTAACAGAGAAAAGACACAAACTGCCGATCATCTGAGATAAAAGCTTTGTGGGAACTAGATTTAGCATAAAGGGCCAAAAGAATATGTGAACGACGAGAGGCCGGAAAACAAGATAAAAAAATAATCAGGCCGCAATCAGATATTTTGGCAGAGACACAAAAAGAAAAAAACTTACTATGTTTAACACAAATCATAATTGACCATATTTAATTTCATAATGCCTGTTTCTGGTATTAGTTGTCAAGAAACACCAATGAACAGCAATTATGGCAAAATCTTAATGTTAACATTTAAGTATACTATTGATTTTTAGTTAATGTTCATTCTTATATCAATGTTATTAATGCAACTTGAAAATATAAAAATGTATTAGCATACACTACCGTTTAAAAGTTTGCAGTCGGTAAGATTATAGTTTTTGAAAGAAAAACTTCTGTCCACCAAGGCTGCATTTATTTGATTAAAAGTACAGTAAAAACAGTAATATTGTGAAATATTATTACAATTTAAAATAACCATTTTCTATTTGAATAGATTTTAAAATGTAATTTATTCCTGTGATGCAAAGCTGAATTTTCAGCATCATTACTCCATACATCAATACTCCAGAAATCACTCTAATATGCTGATTTGCTGCATTTATAATTATTATCAATGTTGAAAAAAAGTTGTGCTGCTTCATATTTTTGATGAAACAGTCATACTTTTTTTATTTTCAAGTTCAAATGAACAAAATGTATTTGAAACAGAAATCCCGCTTTTGTCACTTTAAATTGAAATGCATCCTTGCTGAACAAAATTATAAAAAAAAAATTGTAAAAAAAAAAAAAGTAGAAAATAACCAAGAAGAATAAATGCTGTAAAAGTATTTTTCATTGTTAGAATATGTCAGCTACTGCAAAGTTTGTTTCTCCTGATATTCACAGAAGGCTTTATCAGCTAACTCTGTGAAATGACTTTTGTTTTTCGGATGACGACACCATGCTCATTTCCACCCCTCTCTGCCCTATTTGAACAGGACTAGTTCTCTAGATCAGGTCAATTTGTTTCCCAGCTGCACTTTGTGATTTCAATCCCATCCAAATTTTAACACGTCTGTGTAGTTCTCACACAGCCTGTGTAAAAATTACAGAGCAAATTACCTACTGTTTTTGGCAACCTCTGGAGTCCTCTAATGTTGTTCGGGAAGTAACAGCTATTGTGGTACTTTTTTGACAACCCTTCTCGTTTATTTTGACCTTTTATCCAACACCGTGACGAAAGCTAACTGGTGCACTTCATTATGGTGCAGACCTTTTTGCCAGTTTGCTGGGTGAAGTTGGCAAATCAGCTGTTCGATTCATCAAGCATGTACACTCACATCCTTGCAGTCAGCAAATTGCGTTTTTGATTGTTAAAATTGGGTTGCAAGACACAATGCAAAAAAGCTACTCTATCTATCTATCTATTAAATATATGTTTAAATACTATATACTGTATTATTAAATATATTAAATATAATATATTATATCATCAAGCTTGGATTGTTGTTTACCATGAAAAAATAAATAAATAAATAAAATAATCAAGAAACTAAAATACTAATAAAAATGCTAATTGTTATATTAAATATTATTAAATCTATATATTTAATTATATTATTTAAATATTCTTTAACTATATATTTTAAATATTATATTACATTTAAATGTATTATATTTAATATAATGTATTATATAATCAAACTTGCATTTCTGGAAAAAAAAAATTCTAATTAGACATCCTGCATGATATGACCTCATCCATAAAAATATCTCAATGTCCGATTTCATGGGTCGTGAAGCAAAGCACAACAAAATCCAGCCCATTTTATCTTTCTTGTTGAACATCTTGTTCCATTTTGAAATAATTCACATTAAATGCTTTGCAAACCACATTTCATTTTGCTTTTAATTGCAGGCATTCAGTGGTTGACTGAATGAATTTGGTTTTATCATTCTGAATAACAGCCGCCCCATTTACACGACGAAACTCCAGAAAAGTCATTTGCCCTCAGGAGACATGCAGAATCTTACACCCGCCAGTGGAATCTAAATGATGTTATTTCATGCGTTTAACCTCAAGAGAAGAAGACTTTACACAAGCAGACTTTACAAAGACTCTAGTACCTTGAATAACAAGGAAACATTCTGTTGGGGAAATATAGTGAAGTTCGTGATATAGTGAGTTAATTTCAACATTTACCAATACGTTATTAAAATCTAAATGTTAATGGTCCTAACATGAACTAACAATGAACAATTATAATTTTTAATTCATGTTAGGAATTAACTAATGTTAGCTGGACCTGACTGTAAAGTGTTACTAAAACATTTATCTTCATAAGCATGTTAACATCAGATTCATTTAAAACCAGCACATATTTTTCAAAGCTTTAGGGAGGAAACACATTATAACACGGTTGCGATACCTTTCTCCAGGCCTGCAGAACAGATTAAATCACCACATTTGATATGCATTACAGTATATGTGCCGCGTGAGCTAAAGACCTTTTCCTGCCACAGTTCAACAGCTGTATTTGCTAAGTGCAATCCATTATTGAAGTACTACAGTCGATACCTCATCCGGTCAATGAGATCTAAAGGACACAGTATCCAATGGGATGTGGAGAATGTCAGAAGGTTTGAGGGCATCCAGTGGGTCACATGAGATGGAGAAACCCTGGTCTCCGTTCCTCATAGAGGACTGGAAAAGATGTTTATTTGCTGCCGGTCAAGTCATTTGTATTTTCTGTTGAATCAGATCCTATAAGGTCTGAATAGAAACCATAATATATATTTTCAAATAAAAAAGGTAATTGCAACTTTTATCTCCCAATTCAGACTTTTTTTTACTCGCAATTCTGATAAATTAATTTATCACAATTCTCAGAATTGTGTAATATAAACTCAGAATTGCATGAAATGTGAGATAAAAAGTCAAATTTACCGTTTTACATTTTTTAAATTCCATGGCGGACACTGGCTTCCATACTTTTGCTCAGCAAAGCAGTATTTAATTGATCTAAAATACAGTAAAAACAGTAATATTGTGAAATATGATTACAATTTAAAATAACTGTTATCTATTTGAATATATTTTCAAATTGTAATTATTCCTGTGGTGCAAAACTATGGAGCCTCTTAAGGGACCTTTGCAAATATAAAAAATACACAGACTATCACGTGCGCACGAGAAACATTCGAGAAACATTTTGCGTGCACACAAGAAACATTCGAGAAACATTTTGCATGCGCACAAGAAACATTCGAGAAACATTTTGCATGCTCACCAGAAACTTTCGCATGCGCACGAGAAACATTCGAGAGACATTTTGCGTGCTCATGAAACTTTCGCGTGCGCACGAGAAAAATTCGAGAAACATTTTGCATCCTCACGAGAAACTTTTGCGTGCGCACGAGAAAAATTTGTGAAACATTTTGCGTGCACACAAGAAACATTCGAGAAACATTTTGCATGCGCACAAGAAACATTCGAGAAACATTTTGCGTGCTCACGAGAAACTTTTGCGTGCGCACGAGAAACATTCGAGAAACATTTTGCGTGCACACAAGAAACATTCGAGAAACATTTTGCATGTGCACAAGAAACATTCGAGAAAAATTTTGCGTGCTCACGAGAAACTTTCGCATGCGCACGAGAAACATTCCAGAGACATTTTTCGTCCTCACGAGAAACTGTTGCATGCGCATGAGACACATTCGAGAAACTTTTGCGTGCGCACAAGAAACATTCGAGAAACATTTTGCGTCCTCACGAGAAAGTTTCGCGTGCGCACGAGAAACATTCCAGAGACATTTTTCGTCCTCACGAGAAACTGTTGCATGCGCATGAGAC